CGCTTTATAACAAAACATAACATTATTTTGTTTAGAAAATGTGTACCAAGACTTAGAGTTGTCTTTAACAGGCTAGATGGTCAGTTTGTAAATTTAAGCCTTTGCCAGACTAGACCTGTACTGCCTGAAAGTAATAAAAAATGTAAATCCTGGACAGCCAAAGCACAGACCTAGATCTGCTTTAGATGCTGTGGGGTAACTTTAACAGTCTTGCCTGGAGCTTGTCGAACATTTCACAGCTGAAGGTGAGGAGAGATACAAACTTTCCTCGGGTTGAAGTTAGAGCCTGGTAGGTTGTTACAAGAAGCTTCTCTTTAGCTGAAACTATTTCAGCCAAACAGTCTTTCCTTTGTTAAAACACACATTTTATGTTTTGTCTTATGAGTAAAAGGGGGATATTTTCTCTTGTGTAAGTGTAAATAAACCCCCCTTTCTGTCTAAGGATAATTTGATATGAGAGAATTCCAGTTACAGACTTGAACATTTTATGATGTTTCCTAAGTTCTTCACATAACCCAAGGTAAAACATGTTCGTATCAATTTCAGCTTGAGAAGAACAGGGTTAGAATGACAAAGGTTGTCATAAGGTAGACAGCAGGGTTTGTATTTTAATACAGCGCTTCCGTGAAAAGATTTCATACCACAGGGCAGATACTGAAAGTTACACAAGTTACATTTATGTTTGTAAAAGTTGTGACATAACTTTTATTTGCATCAGTTTCACTCAGAAGTCCATAAAGGTCAGTTACAGGCAGCACATAAATGTTCAATCAAGCAAACCTGATGAAATAATAAAAGATCTGCCTGGAGAGCATTGATGCCTTTGACTCACATTATGGCAGGAAGTCAGGTGCCTGCCAGTAAACATTAAATTAGTTCATATGATGTAAGTTTATTTTTATATTCTTTATATACATAAATTCTATTTTTGGATATTAAATAAATAAAATAAATAAATTCTGTTTTTTTGTTTTTGTTTAGAAAGAGTTACTGAGGCAGACTCAGAAAGTGTTGATTTATGTCATTGTGGATTTTTTCCTGCTCTGTATCGTATGGCTTTACTAATAAGGCCCCCTCTCTTTATTTTTTTTTATTTTAGATATTGCGTAACCCCAGAGAACATTATCCTGTACGGACAGAGCATTGGTACAGTTCCCACTGTGGACTTGGCTTCCCGTTATGAATGTGCTGCTGTGGTTCTTCACTCACCTTTAACGTCTGGGATGAGAGTGGCCTTCCCTGAAACAAAGAAAACCTACTGTTTTGATGCTTTCCCCAAGTAAGTTTCTGCAGAGTGCTAGCATCTTTTCTCGTGCCATTTTCAATCTTTTATGTCTTTTTCTAACTGCACATCAATTGATGCTTCTGTTTGAAGGGATCAACGGGGGCTCATTTATGTAGAAAAGGTGACATGCTTTGGCTTTAATAAGGAAACTGTGTCAGCCTTTGATTGTTTTTAATTGTTTTACATTGATTTACAGATCTCTACTGGAAAAAAAAAGTCTTGTGTATTGGCATTAGGGGTGTGCAAAATAATCGTCATGACGATGCATCGCAATTCTAATTTCTGTGATCCACTGCATCGATTCTTGATGCCAAGTATCAATCCTTAATTAAAAAAAAAAAAGAGTTAATAAAATACATGAATGGTTGGCACACATCAGCCAAAAACAAGTGGAATACAACTTTCAGTCCAATAGATGTCGCTGCGGATACTGCGACGAGTCATTCATAAACAAAACATAGAGGAGACTGAGAAAATTTGCACAGCTCCATCACATTCCAAGTCAGATGTTTGGATGCATTTTGGCTTTAAAAACAAAGAAGGAACGAAATTGATTTGACGCATGTCATTTCCGAAAGGGGAAATGTCAAACATTTGAATGTTTCCATTTCATTGGTTTAAAGGACCACTGAGGCCATGTAAACGGCACTGTATTTTAAGTTTTAGAAATCCTAAGCACTTTTTATCAGTGTGTCCACTACAGTAATAGTAATATTTCTGTCCAGTATTTGTTTTCATGGCAACACCTCCAAAAGTCGTTTCAATAAATACAGCTATGTATGAATTCAGTTGCTTTCAGATATGTATCAATTGAAGACACTATCGAGATCATACACAGCCAGTCAGCCACTGGTAATAGCTGTATTTTTTTCTTACAGTGTTCTGTGAAAATATCGCGATGCATCGCAATATTTCAAGTATCGCAATGCATCGTGATAGAATCGCACCGTGGCATGTGAATCATGATTGGAATTGAATCGTGAATTCTTTGGCAATACCCACCCCTAATTGACATGGACGATAGCTAATACGTTTTTAATAAACCTAATGTGATGTTAGAGGTGATTTATGGCCAACATCATTGTGTTATTGTTTTGGATTGGCTGCAGAGTATAATCAGACCTTGGGTTACAATGCTAGCAGTCAGATAAGTCTGTCCAGCTGTTAACCAGTTATACAGACAACCCAGAACCTACAGCTAAATGTTTACAGATTCAGCATTAGCCATTAGGATGCTCGTAGATGTTGGGAGGGCTTCATCTGTGGCTTCCCTCTGTATGCAGTGTGATGAAAATACTCATCGGAAAGCCCTCCTTGCACATCTATGAATCCCCAAGTACAGCTAGTTACTTGTGTCGGTTAAGCTGAAGGACAAAAGGAGGAAAAGGAAACCATTGTGTCGGAACAGTGGCATAGGACTGGATTGTATAGAATGTGCCTTGTAGACAATTTCAGGATCTTTTAAACATTTTCTAATCCCTCACATTCCCAGATCTAAGTATTTCCCACCTGTTGAGAGGGGGGATAATATTTAATGTAAGGGAATTTTAATAGAATGCAGTGTTTTTCTTTGCCCACACAAAGCATATTGATCTAAGCTAAAAACATGATCTGTCTCATCAGTCATAACTAGGGATCAGAGTCGGTGATTAATTAATCTAAAGCTGATTGTTTTTATCGATTAACCAATGATTAATTGATGAGCAGCCAATGTCTATAACATTAAGGACTAAACTTTTATTTACAATATGTTGAATTTAAAAAAGTATATCATTTTCTTTTAACAAATACTGAATACTGAACGAATACTGACAGTATAAACAAAAAATGTTTTATTAATCATTATTAAAAAGATTAATAAGATATAACAAACGGTAACTTATCAGTGATTGAATAAAAACAGATAAAATACCTTAGAATTTCCAATGAACAGAGATGTAATACTATCATTAAAAGACAGGGTATGTCGCTGACATGCTGGTGCACTATATTCCACTTTGTTTGAATAAAATGGACGATAGCCGCCATCTGTTTTTTGTGCAATCCAACAATCAGTGCTGGAAGAGACTTTGTGCTGTTAGCTGTACTTTTAAACAGGTTGTTCTAAGTCTAGTTGCTCTAAAGGAGGTTAAAGCTTGGCTCAAAGAAGTGCATCATCAAAAAAAAACTTTCCTGTCTACCATTCTGATTGCTAGAATGTCTTATTTGTCATGTAACAAATGTGTCACCCGATGCCCTCCACTTCCTATCATTACATCCTCCCTTCAGAGCACAGCAGAGAAACGATGCTGTTCCACCTTGCAGTACGCCTAAATGGGCACCATTTAGGTGATAACCTAAACCATTGATGTAATAGTATATTAGTTATTTGTTTACATCCCTTGTCCAAAGGCTTTGTTCTAAAAAGGTTCTGCTTTGTCTAAATGAGATTTTTCACACAACAAACAGCACTGTTTGTAGTGTGCGCCATTATCCCGTTTAATTTGTTTTAATACTTAACATCTACGCCTGCTGTTCTAAAAATATATTTTTTGGAACAGCCAAGTACTCGCATGTAACTAGGGAATGAAACATGTAGGTTGGGACAGCTTCCTTCACTGTTTAAGGCAGACTCTAATACACTGTTGGGCAAACATTATTTACAAGATGAAGAGATTAAAACCAGTAGAACCAGTGATGTATCCCGATTTGCATTTGATTCTGCTCCACCGCAAATAAAATATTTGGTTTCGACTTCATCATGTACTTCATCATGGGGTTCATACAACGACATATTGTTTCTTAAGGAATTGTGGTTTTCAGTTTACTCGTAAATCCGTGTTTCTTGATAAATGAAAACCTTTGAAGTTATCAAGATTTTCTTTAGTGTGTTCACCATCTGTTTGTGTGAGAGCAGTCAGTTTGAACAGGGCCTTCTTGTTCCTCTGAAACATATTGACACATTTTCACTTTACATTTCAAACTGTCTGTAGCATTTTTTTTCTAGTGATTAGCACAGTTAGCATCGCAAACAGAACAATAACAATAGTGTCTCCATTTGTACTTCCTTTTGAAAGATGATCCTTACCTAAGCCTAAAAGCTCCCAGGGAGAAACTGGAGATTTTTCTCTAAATGTCTCAACATTTAATGAAAATATTGCTTCCTTTTGTATAGGGCTGAAATAAGTAATCGGATTGTGATTAATTGATTATTCAAATACTCGTCAACTAAGACTAGAGACTCTAAAACATGCCTTTAGCTGACAGTGACCCACTAAGAGCAATGTTTATACCAAAATTGTAAAAGAAATGTGCAAATAATTTTCATTTAAGATAAAGAAAATAAAAAATCATCCGTCAATATCCTGTATTCAGAACTCCTTAAGTGGAAAAGTTTTGGTTTCACTTGGTTTAATTTCGTAAAACAATCCCCTAAAAGGAACCTTTTGCTGTCCGATTATAAATCGTTTAATCTAAAATTAATCAACAGATTAATCGATTTGCAAAATAATCGTTAGTTGCTGCCCTACGTTTGAAAATCCTTTTTATATCCCTGTGGTTCCTCTGACCTCGTTTTAAATACTGGAGCTAGCTAACTTCATCCTTTGCTCTGCAGAGTGCTGTCTGTAGTGTGACCTGGTAGCACACAGTGGAGCATTAAACAATATGAGCAAGATTTTTTGTTTTTAAATGAACGGTTCCTATTCAGGAAAAACTGCAGATCTACTAACACACATTACAATTAACACAACCTGACCCCCTCTTTCTTTCTCTCTCTTCCTTTTTCAGCATCGAAAAAGTCTCTAAAATCACTTCTCCTGTTCTCATCATCCACGGGACGGAGGACGAGGTGATCGATTTTTCTCACGGCCTGGCCCTGTACGAGCGCTGCCCTAAGGCCGTGGAGCCCCTCTGGGTGGAGGGAGCGGGACACAACGACATTGAGCTGTACAGCCAGTATCTGGACCGTCTGCGACGTTTTATCGGACAGGAGTTGGCTGTTCAACATGCCTGACCTCCACAACCGCATCATCATGTCACTTTCTTCTTCCTCCGGCGAGCGATGCCTCCCTGAGTGGAAGAGGAACGCAGCTGTCCAACTTGGTCCAATGGAATATAGTGTTCCACGCAGCGTTACTGTAGGCCTTTAAATGGACCAACAAGGCACAAAGGAAATCTTTATAATTAGATCTATTTAGTTTGGAAGACGACATTATGACGGAATCTCTTCAGGCTTGTTTTCTTTTTTTTTCTGTGTTGCTAATCTCTCACACCAGCTCAAAGCTGCATATTTCTCTGCAACAGGAAGGCTAGCACCAACACTAAACAGGCCGATGTCTTTTTCAAGCCTCTAAATATCTTTTTTTTTTTTTTTTAAATAAAAATACAGGATATTTTAAGTTAAACATGAGGCTATTTCTACTATAAAACAGTGAAGAAAACTAATTTTAAAGAATGACATTACATCAACTATTCCATATATTCTCCCCATTATTGATTGTCGTGCTCTGATCTGTCATTCCCAGCGTCGTTCAGATCAATACGGAGGCAGAGCAGATCTCAGGAGCCGTGGAGCTCCTCTATTCCAATGTCATTATTGAGCACTACCATTCAGCATATTATCAGTATAAAAAGCTGATGCCTTTTCAAAACTTTTTCTATTTCCTTTGCGGTCTATTTGACGACCAGACAAGTCTGTAATGCTTTCATAGAAGCTCTGCATCATTGCAAACCTTGGTTCTCCTGCAGATCTTTTTCCCTTTGTTTTTACCATCACAAAAATGATAAAACTTTTAAGCCGGCTAATCTGATCATCTCAGGTTGGTTCAGAAAGGTGGTTAGAAAAAAAATCCTCGTATATTTTTTTCAGTGGTTTGCGTTTTAAGGCTACAAACTACCAAAGTTATCCTTTTTTAATGCTAGAAGAAACTGCTTTTTTTTTTTTTTTAGCTGATGGACTGATGGCAGCAATTTTCAGGGTTTCTCGTTAGTTTCCAAACCAAAGTGTCATCCAGCCTACCTGCTGCTGATGTTTTCCATCGTCACATGCTAAAAGGGGAAAAGGTTTAAAGCTGGATCTGTTTTTCTGTCTCCAACTTGTGTCGTTTTCTCTGTACGTCTTCTAAGATAAGTTTGAATGTTTTATTAAATTGTGTGTAAACTGATGAAACATCATGACACAGGAGCTTTATGTAAACACGGCTCCTATGTGTTATTCATTACTGACATTTTTCCTTTTTTTTTTAGGTTTTAAAGGTTTTGTTTTTCTCTACAAGTTAAAGAGTATAAATCAATAAAACATACTCAGCAGTTTGAAGCAGTTTTTCTCTCCTTTTTTTGTCCCCTTTTTTTTTACTGAACTGTCAGAAAAGATACGTTTCTTTGACTTTTTCCTGCCTTTGTTTGAAGGAATGTTATTTTATTGCCTAGTTTAGTTTCTATTCAAGACGTTTCTATGAATAAACTCCCGAGACTTGATGGGGAAGATCCAGGATCGCCTCAGTCGGATAATTGGCTAATACATGAATTAATCTTTTAATTCCTTCTTTTTGTGGCTTTGCTGAGTATTCATCTGTTGTTTGTCCTTTTTAAGAATTTGCATTTAACAAAGGAGAAGGTTTAAAAAGGTTTTGTGATTTAAACCAGTACAAGGACTGCTGTGTGTCCCAGCCTAACCTCTTCATGCCTTTTTGGGAAGACAGATGGAGTATAAGCTGGACTCGCTCTTCTTCATCTCACACGCTCCTACAGATTAAAAGCAGCTGCGCCCCCATATGAAGCAAAGTGAGCGTAGGCTGACCTGCTGCAGCCAAAAACAATTGGCAGCCCTTTGACACAGCCGGTAGCACAGAGAAGACGCCTCCTTGAAGAACTGCCAAGCCACAACAATAGAGGAGTCAGAAGAAATAATGACCGCCGCTGAAAGGCTTTATATATAAAGCAGCATATTTTATTTTGGCTGACAGAAGGCAGAAGAAAGGTCGACTGTCATCCATGTTCCACTAACCTGTGACACGGATAATCAAAGATCCCTGTAGTTATCGGTTTAAACACTGTTTTTCCTTCAGGGAATAAATTATAGACACTGACTTTGACATTTAAAGTGCAGTAGACTCATTTAGGCCTTATCTAACCTGATAACTAGCAGTGATACAGAGACGGAGGGGCTTCTCTGTTTAGCATGCAAACACAGTTCTCTGATATCCTTCCTGCGATGCTGCCCACTCACAGGAGATTTATGTCAAATTTCCCTGATATTGAGTTTGTCCTTTTGGCTGTTTTCTGCTGTGGGTTGATATTTCTGCTCTGATTCAATCGGTGAACATTCAAGGACAGAGCAGCTTCTGCCAAATGCCAGCAATAAATATCTGCCCTAACCAACAAATCATATTTACAGCATGTCAGTGACGCCGGAGCTTCTTGACTGATGTTGGCCCACAGCCTCATCTCAAGAGCTCCTCTTCCTCTCACCAGCACCGCCTAATGCGGCAGAGTGGATTCAGTCCACAGAAAGCAGCTGAAAGCCTTCAGTTAATTTAAAGATGCTGCAGCCAGAGCTCTGATCAATGTAGAGAAATGTATCCTTTTTTAGCTTCCATTTATTGGCTTCAAAAGCTTTAAAAATTTTCCTCACGTTAACCCCTAATTAACCACCTCCATTAGGGATATCTCTCTGAAATCTGCAGGTTTACTAGTGGTTCATAGAATTTCTAAAAGTAGGCAGATCTTTTAGTTACAAGCCTCTTTTCCTGTGGACCATACTTTAATTTTAATCCATGAAGCAGACACCCTAGGCTTAATACTTTTTGATAAAGCTGGTCATTAAGGTGGCTCCGGTTATCCTGGACTATGTCTATAGTTAAGCTTCTGTAGACTTAGCTGTAAGCTTCATATTCTACTTTCATAAATGTTATGATTGCTTTTACTGCAACTGTCCCTTCATTTACACTAACTATGTCTACTTTGGGATGTTTCGTATTTCTCTCTGGATGGGTGTGGAATTCATTCATGCATCCACAGTACTTACTTATTTTTAAATATATCAGATGTAGAGCAGATCCCCAGCAATAAACTTGATCTTGAATTTTAGGAGGGGGGCTGCAGAAATAATTGCACCGGCTCCAGGCTTTGCTATAAATGTGCTCTGTTGTCTTCTTAACTAAAATACTGGCTCTAGAATTCCTTATGTTAGTTATTTTCCCTCCAAAATGAAATGACCAAAGGAACATAGAAAGTACTCCTAGATCAGTGCTTCTGTGTCCTTTTTCTATGCAACTGCTCAATCTTTTCAAACCCCTGTTTGTTGCAGGAGGGCAATTTAAACTGAGCCTGGTCCTCCTGGAGGTTTCTTCCTGTTATTCGCCTAACTGTGGCTACATCCCCCCACCACAGAGGAGGGGTTGCCTTAAAGTCAACAACAAATTAATGTTACTTCCCACTGTTACTATGCGGTCATCCAGGAAGAGTGAATGCTACAGGTCAATGGGTGACCTGATGCAATCTGCTGGGTTTCCACGCATAGAAAACTTTTTCAGCAATTTGAAAAACAAGCTGAACTTGACGACATTGTTCGATTACAATGATCATCTGGAATTTATTTACTTCTATTACTGAATAGTTCTTTTTTTAAAAAGAGCTTTGAGAAGACATGAAAACAGTTCACTTGAAAAGGCTCCAAACATACAATTCTGTATTTCTGAACAACCACTTGTTGGGTTTCAGTGTTAATTTTCGAAGCACATTTTAATTTATCCTTAGTGGGATTTTAGTCAATTTAGCTCGTTTGAGTCTGTTAAACCCTACTACATTTTAGACCTGATTTAATTTAAAGTTAAGGAAAATTTTGTCAGAGGAATGTTTATTTTAGGGCATATTACCTATTTATGAAAAATAATTAAACATACATTATTTTACAATAGATTAAAGTTATTAGATTTAATAATGCTGATACTATAATGAATTTATTCTTCTGAAAACTAACTATAATTTTATTACACTTTCTAAAATAAGAAAAATAACACAAGTATCTAAAAAAATCAATAAGAAATATTTAGCATGAAACATCAAGATCAATTTCTATTGATATATGCTAATACTTTAGCTCAATATATTTACAGTAAAAATGTTAAGACTTGGTTGACTAATAATAGACCATAGCTTAAAGTACTACAGCTGGGATTAAAACTAAATCGAAATGTACTAACAAATGAGCACAGTGACTTTTATGTTTGCCGTCTAAGTAATAAAATGCAACCAATAATGATAACTTTAAAAGAAAGAGTAAGATGAAACCCAATTTTATGAGCGATCTATCAATACAGTGCTGTTCCAGTTCTATTGGTTTTTGACTTCAACCCTGTGGTGTTTACCTTTAAGTAAAAGGCTCTACAACATTTATTTCATCTGAACAAACCCAATTTCAGTAAAGGAAGGTCATAGGTGATGTATTCATATGAGAGGAAATGTCCTCCTCTCACATAAACAGTCGTTGCCTTGTCCAGAGCAGTGTATTATTATTCTAAACATGAGAAAGAACGCTGTGCATCATGAGAACGTGGACGTACTGTACGCTACTTGAAGAGATGAGCTCAGGATACAGCATATCTGATCATCCATAAAAAACAAAAAACAGACAACTTTGATGATAATGGCAATAATTTATTCATCTAAGTAGAGTAAGAGTCTTTGGCAGTGGAGAACAGGAAATGGGCATGGATTTTAGAAAAACATTTTAAAGTGAAGGGCTGCATTAAGAAGCCCAGCTAACATGTTAACACAGACTGGGATCAGTGGTCAGACTGGTAGCATCGTGCTATGACCATAACCCTGTAGGAACCCGCTAATGCTGATGTGATTTAGTGTGAGGAGACATCCACCTGGCTTACAGAGGAGAAGGGTTTACATGAGACAGATGGATAATGAAATAAAGCGTCCTTTGGAATTTGTCAAAGTTAAATCTGGCACAGATGGTTTTCTTTTATGACTGTTTGAGTTCTTATGTTTAAGATTTCCTGTCACTTTAACATTAGTGAAAACATTTCTGGAATGAAATAAGCCCACAAAAGAAATACAAAAAAACATATATATAAAAAAAAAAAGCAACAGTTATAAACAAAAAACATGATCTCGTTTAGTAAAGAGGGAGTAAAACCACCTACAGAGCGGTTCATTCATCCTTCAGATTCACATAACACTGGCGTCTGTCGACTAGCATACGGTACAAGTATGCATCAGTCAGATATTTATCTGCTTTCTATAGCAGTAGAATGCCAAATTCATTTTCCGTTCTTGCACGTAGAATTTATTTCAATGCAAGCAGAAAAATCAGCTTCAGAAAGCAGCACTAATTGCACCTCTTCACCCTGAAGACAGGGCAGGTAAGGCCTTTTCAGTATTTGCCAAGGACTTGATAAAACCAAGTATAGGAACTTATCAGAATGCACCTGCATTCGTCACACAGCTCGCAATATGGCGGGAGGGGGGGAACACACACATATACACAAATATGTATACACGTACACTGTGCACATTGTGCACAAGCCCGACTAGGACTGTTCAAGATGCCCGAATGGGTTAAAGTACTGACGTCACAGTTTCTTTCAGTCAGTTAATATGGTTTAGAATACTGTTAGACATTATTAACAGAACAAAACAACAGATATCTTCTGTTTTATTCCTGTTTAAAACAACAAATTAAAGCTTAATCTACAAAGACTAGTCGTTTTCAATACTGTTGGAGGTCTGGGAGCTTGGTTCTCCCACTTGTGCAAAAAAAACCTGTAAAGATTGGAGGCCACTTGGGGTCACTGTTGCACATTAAGGCTGGGAGGGTGATGATGGCACAGTAAAGTGACCCAAATGGTACGAGTAAAACAGAGTCTAAGAGCTCACTGCATCTGGTCCACGTTAAACATCTCATAGCTCTTTTTATGTCTTATTGAATCCACTCATAATCACTGTCTTCGCTGTAGGCAAGAGTATGAGGGAGTCACAGCGTTACTTTGCTGAGTCTGAGCGAGAGGCTGGAGCGAGCCTGGGCCCGGGGAAGAGTGGAACTGCAGCGACTCCGCAGCTGCACCGGCCGGCCGGCCGAGCCTCGGGCGCGCAGCAGGAAGTCAAAGTTGGCAGAGGTGTTCATGGCGTAAAAAACGTTTGCGTTGTCAGGAATCACCAGCTCTGAGAGACATCAAAGAGGAAACAAAAACACAGTTAAATTGATGTCAGTAATGCTCTTCTCTGAAAATTACACTAAGGATTGCATACAATGCTGTTTGTAAGTACAGTGATTTGTTACCTTTCTCCTCAGAAATGACCTGCACCAGCTCAAATCCCTCCTCTGGCTCCACCTCCAGGTTGTGCTTTGCCATGGCTCTAGCTATCACAGCTGGGGTCTTGTCTTGACTGGTCAGCTGTTCAAAACAACATTTATCAGCTTATACTTTGTTTGACTTAGATTGTCTTAAAATACTAACCCGTCTCCTTTAGAGAAAAGCAAAGTATTTGTCTTTACTCACCAGGATGCTTTTGTACAGATTCCCATTGCCATGCTCCAGGCTGACTCTGATGATGCATGTGTCCTGGGCTTGGGTGTTATAAGCCGGGGTCTGACTCGGGGAGCTGGGGGACAAAGGAGTGAGGGAGATGCATCGTCTGTGGGTACCAGAACGCCCAGGGAGTGATGGAGACGCTGGAGTCATGGAACTGCTAGCAGTCGATGAATTGGTGTCCATGGAGTGGAGCGAAGTGCAAGATGATGATTCTGAGAGCTGAGAGAGTCACAGAAATGTTTAAGTATTGATGACATTTTAGCAGCTCTGAGTCATGCCTTACCATGCTTAATGTTTTGCACTTGCTTACTCAGCATCTTAATTTATTTTTATAATATATGCAATATACAAACTAGAAATCTGTTTTTAATTTAGCAAAACGATAACGCTAAAAACACAAACAAATTAACTGAGCTCTTCCTACCTTTAGATCCTTGTCACCTCTTTAAGACTGACCTAATTATAAATAACTTTTATTCCACTTCTAATTTCTTCATTTTAATGTTTTACATGCTGGCTTTATACTTTTTCAGATTGGTAAGATTTATGACTAATTCAAAAATGTTTTTTTTTTTTTTTTTTTTTTTTTTTACAGATAGTTATGCTTTCTTTCTAATATGTAAAATTGACAGAAATATTACTGGTTTGTCAAAATTAAAGTGAAAAAAAATGTACTTTAAATGTGATTGTTTATTTTGGGATGGTTTATAATATAAACTAATTCTTTTTGTAAAACAATTTTTATTAATCTGTGATTTGTAATAGATCTTGTTTGTTTTAATATAATAAAACTGAAGAATTTTCTTTTAGATTCATGATATTAAACAAACTGTTTAGCTGTAACCCACCTTGTTTTGTTGAGATTCTGAGTTGTGAGTGGGACTGGCGAGTCCCTCGTTATCTGAAGGAGTGCTGGAGTCGTTGGAAGACACGCTGACCGAGTCCATGCTCTCCCCCGAGCTGCCAGTAGGAGGCGAGCGTGGCGTCTCTCTGACTGGAGAACTGGCCGAGCTGCTTTCTGGTCCAAGAAACAGTCTGAAAAGTAGAGTGGAGGATTATATGTTAATAAAAGCTGCTTAGATGTGAGTAAAAACTCAGCTCTTCCTTCATTCATCTATATTCTGGGCGCACTCACAGGCTCAGCCTCTTCACCATACTTTTTCTAGGTTTTGGTAAAGTTGGGCTGCTGTCGCCGAGACCTTCGATCTCACAAGACAGGGCGTAGCTGTAAGACAGAGCAATAGCAATAAACCGTCAGTATTATAAAACTTTAATAAACCAAGTGCACTGTGAGGCAGAGAGGGCAAAAAAAAGGAAAAACAATAGATCAGCGGGGAGTAAAGACCTGGTAGTGAGCAGGGAGAAAAAGCTTCTCTTGTTTTTTTGTGTGTGGACAATAGATCCAACAGACCATAGCTCCTTCACTAACTGGCTCATTATTTAACACACAACCGTACAGTTAGGTGAGAGAAAAGCAGCGTTACCTCTCCTCCTCGCTGAGCTGAGTTTGGTTCTTGAACCAGCGAATGAACGCCTGGTCTGCAGTCAGGCAGTAGCTGTTACACGCAGACTGGAGCAGCTTGATCTGCGCGATGACCTCAAACTCCTGCAGAGGCAGAAGGATAGCGTCAAAGACAGAGAAATACTTAGCATCAAACAGGCTGCTTGGGTTTTGTTTGGTGATGAATAAACAGGAGAGTCCCTCACCCTGCGTCTCTTCTCAAAGTTGATCAGCTCCCCCTGCAGATAAAGAGACAGAGAGAATGTGCTGTCAGACCATGGGGCATCACATACCAGCAGCTGCTTAGAAAAACAGCATTAGGTGGACCACTAAGGTCCACAAATAACAGGGAGCGTATTTGTCTTACCTCCACAAAGTCTGGTAGGGCCGTGTCTAACATAGTCAGGTCCGTTAGAAACGTCCCTAAGTATGGGATGGTTCCTTGCATCGCTCCCTGTAGACAAGCATTTATTTGGTCATTTTAAAGCAAAGAGGCAACAGGCAGGATCAGAAAGTACCAGACCAGTTTATAATAATAGGTGGTGCGTATTTGCAGGTGAGGTGTGGTGGCCTAGTGGTTAGGGCATAGAGAGAGCTTGGAATCCTGAGGTTCTGAGTTCAAGTCCCACTCCACAGACTGCAAGCAAGACCCTTAACCTCAACACCTTTGTTAATAAATGTTGGAGATCAGCCTGTTTTTCCAGTGTAGTCCTGTTTCTCTGACTGTGACTGGCTGGATGTGCTCTCTTCATTCTCTGACATGGGAGTTGACTCTGACCTATTCTGCCTGGCTGTGTGTTTCCTTGACCGATCCGCCTTTTTCAGTTGCTTTTTGCATCTCTGCTTCTGTCTCCTTGAACCCCAGTCGGTCTCAGCAGATGGCTGCTCACACTGAGCCTGGATCTGCTGGAGGTTTCTTCCTGTTAAAAGGGAGTTTTTCCTCTCCACTGTCGCTACAAGCATGCTTAGTGTGAGGAATTGCATTCGAGTCAATGAGTCAATGCAATCATCTGATTTTCCTTAGACAGAAAACTTTGAATCAAGTTGACTGTATGATCAGGTGAACTGTAAAGTGCCTGGAGAGGACATGTATTGTTAATTGGCGCTATATAAATAAACCGAATTGTATTGAATTGATTGCTCTGGTGCCCCCTGAGTGAATTTCTTCAATGTTAGATCAATAAAGTTAAATTTTTATTATTATATTTCCATTATTTCAGTCAGTGATTTGCTAATGTTATTGTAAGTTAAATTCACATAATGAAATCATTTTAGAAATTATTTATTTTTATAAGGCTTGGTACTTTAATTGTCTCAAAAGGGAATTAAATACACTGATGTGGTGATATAATCTTATATATTGAGAATCTAATAATCGTTGTTGCTTCATATCTTGAAGCTTAAGCTGGTTACATCAGAGCACCAACATATAACAACTTCAAGCCCATCAGAATTTGTTTAATGGCAGTGAATTAGAGAAAATGACTCTGAATTTAAAGGCTTTATCTCAGGCCCCACAAAGACACAGGGAGCAACTTATGGCTTCTGTAACAGCATGTTCCTCTCAAAATCCTTCTTAGCCCTTCCTGATCCTGCTGGAAGTGCAAGTGTTTGATTTTGCTGCTTTAATTTAGCCTCTGCTGTTGACAGATGGCGAGGCAGGCCAGTAAATTACAGCTAAGGTTTAATGTGCGTACAGCACACGCTGCATTGGATAAACAAAGCTAAGTATGTGGCTTCAACATCCTGGAGAGGCAAGAATTCTTCTTTCAGTATATAGCTCAGAAGGAATGTGTTATTTGCATTTTTTTCTCCCATGTCAGCCCACTTAAAAAGAAAAGGAATCAATTTGTCTGGTAGTTGTTTTCAGAGTCCCAGAGGGATTCTCTCACCATTTCCTTTTGCAGTTGCAGTCTCTTGTGGGTGCGCTTCTGGTGATCTTTGGCACAACTCTCCAGACTGGCAAACTTTGAAGTACCTTCCTGTGGATAAACCAAAAGTAAAAGACTTTTCACCTAAAGTTTGAAACCAGTGAAAAAAGAAAAGCATCGTGGGAATTGAAGATTGGGTCAGTGAGAGGGGAAGTAGATCGTACCCTCATGAGCAGCTCTCTGCTGGTCAGGTAGTTGTTGTGGTCAGAGAAAATGTCTGAGAGCTCCTCAAATGTCTGCATGCTGTCTCTGCATCGAGTCAAACAGAAGCTCAAGTCAGCGAATGGGACTAGAAACAGGTGCTAACACACATATTCAAAAAAAGGCAGCAGCTTGCCTCAATATATTTATATACACATTATATCCAAAGCAGCTGAAATTATGTGCATACTTGAGAGGTTTTAGGCTTACCTGTGTACACATGCCCACACTTTTTTCAGTCTATACAAAGGGTTGGATTGCAGTGCCGACACAATTGCTCTCAGGGATGAGAAGTTTTTGCGTATCCTGCACTCCTGCTCCAAGAAACCAAACAATAACAGTCACAACCTGCCTCCTTCTAGCTGATTTTTTATTGTATATCTGATATTTTGGGTCTTTTTCTTTAACCTGAGCAATGTCTATCCAGCGCTGGATGACCTTCGCCCTGACATGCGGTCTGAGCTGTCTGTGCTTCAGCACGGTGTTCACCACGCAGGCGGCGACCGCGTTGAACTGGGTGATGGTTGCACGTATGGTGGGAGCACTGTGCTTGTTGTCCTTCTTGTCTCTATGGGACCAGATGGAGCCCAGGCAATGGTGGGGGACCACCTTCTTAAACAACAGCTGGAAAAAAAGGATACACAAAAACTGATCAGAATTAGAGCCAAAGGTGTTATTAAGATTCGAAAATGTGGGCCGCTTAGTTCAAATTACACATAGCGGAGCTTTTATGTTACAGCAGTAAAAATGTAAGTAATTTAATATTAATCTGAGATCAGCAAGTTCTTGGATGGGGTTTTAAATTAACATAAAACGAGAAAATGTGTCTGATCCTTTTTTTTAAACTCATGACAATCATTTGGGATTGTTAAATTAACCTGAATCTGATTTTCTGTTGATTCTATTAAAGTTTTTGCATTATTATGAAAGTGCAACAGTCCTAAAGTCCTTAAGTATAAAAATTACAAATGTATAAAATGCAATTTCTTTTTATTTTATCTATGTGAAATGCCTAAATAAATTTAAAAAAGGGAGACTCCTGATTTTTAATGTTACTGTACCTCCCACCAAGCTTCTGATTGTTGACTTTTCCCACTAATCTCCTGATTTTTCAGTGAAGTTTCCTCCAAAAGCTAACTTTCCTGTACACTCATGCATGTATCCCTGCTGTTATTAATTTAGACAATTTAATTGTATGAATTTAAAGTTGATGCTAAGTCGCTGCGGCCTCTTCTCTTCAACCAATTAATTCTTTAGAGTTTGGCAGTCAGTGGTCCACACTTTTTATTTTGATCTGCAACACTGCATACTAATAACACGGCAGTGTAACTGCCTTATTAGTTAGCCTCCTGGTTCTTATTTCAATGATTAAGCTGCTTTTTCCCCCCATTATCCTTATCATCATGAACTGAATGTCAAAGAAACACATTTTCACCAGGCTTAAAGCACAAGGTAAGAAATTACAAATCAATTCCGAGGGCCGATACACCAATGAGACCACCCAATGTTGGAAGGTATGAATATACTTTTAACTGATCATTTCTGCCCTAACAGTTTGACTTCTGCCTCCACCAACTTTTTCAGATCAGATTAAATATCTTTGCAATCTTGATGTTTTAAATCAGTCACAGGGGTTTTTATTGATCTTAATGGAATAGGCTACTCTGATTTGTGCTAAAACTTTGTCTGTTTTTAACAAAATACACCGAGAGCTTCAGACAGTAACAAGTCTGGTGGCATGTCATAGGAAAGCATCAAAGGGATTTTTAACGCTATTCTTTAATGTTTCCATTTCATCTTCCTCCTCTTACCGCATCCATGTAGGTCAGCTGCTCGGCCACCAGGTCAGCATCAAAGGACAGGAAGTCCTCCTGTACCTCGATTTCCACCTCCTCTTCCTCCCCCAGGCAGAAAGAACTGTTTCCTTGGAAAACAACTGAAGAAGAAAGAAATAATCAGACTCAGAATAAAATTAAAACAATAGAGCATTAGAAATATTTGCAAAAAATGTGAAAAAGTAATACCATCTGTTTCATCCATGCTGGCCTGACTGTGCAGCTGCTCCAGCAGAACCTCAGCCCGTCTAAGAGCCTCTGATCCTGGAAGAGCTTTCCGCAGGTAGTCCATCAGCCTGTGCAGACAGGGGTAGTCTGGAGGCTCCTGGAAGTCCTCAGGACACTGGTCCAACCAGGCGCGCAGGATAGAAGCCAGGGCACTATAGGGACAAGACGCACAGAGAGACGATGTGATCAGCCAGTGATGTTAACTGGATCTCAGATGGGGTTCAGTAGGAGGTGATGGTGATGTACAAAAATATATCTCACTTTCTGATGGCTTCATTATTTTCTGAGCCATCCTGCTCGCTGTCCTCCACACTCCCATATCTGCAATAGAAAAGCAATAAAGAGCCTGCATTTAGAAATTTACATTCACTACATCATGTAATTCAGTTTTAAAAATTTTTTTTAGCATGCCTGTCTAGCAGCAGCTGCAGTACAGTCTGGGTGCTGGCAAAGGCTCTGTAGGTGGAGAGGAAGATGGAGGTGTATGTCAGGTCGTTGTCTCCGAAAGCCGTCAATAATGTCTCCACCAGGCGCTCCAGTGTCCCAGCACGGATACTGCGGATCTTACAGGTCTCCAGCTGGCTGACCGTGTGGCCGGGTGGCAGGCGATCTCCCTCCGCCTTTAACACACAAAAACGTTTTCTTATCGCTGTGCCTGAATATATTAAATCCTTTGCTAATTGCTGTCTGTCTGGTGTCTATTGGATCATGAAAAAATTAGACTTTTGACTAATTTAACTCATTTACTGTTTTCTGCTAGAAAATGCATCCCCATACATACTATAAAAGTGTTTCTCCTTGTTTTCTAGTTTTTCTTTCAGTATTTGAAGCTGTGTTTTCTCCTCCCCTTTTCTTTCCCAAGGCTTTTTTTAAAGTCCCTTATTTCCTTTAAACATTCCTCTGTCAGCATTTAAGAGTATCGTATTCATTCCTGGTCCCTTACATAGTCGAAAGAGGATGTTTGTTAACCTCACGTCATGAAAAAGGAAAAAAAAAAAACAACTTAAAATAGCATTCTAAAGAAGTGACACTAGTTGTGGCTAACATTTTATATTCGTTTTAATTGCTTTAATATAATCATGCTCTGCTGGTTTTAATTCTGAAAATTCAACATGGCTGCTCCATAATGAAATTACTCTATTCGTACTTCTAAATGTTTACATCTGATTAAATCAGCCTCCAGTTACAGTAAAATACCGGTAACATTTCTGTTAGCATACATCTTACTTTTTAGCTTGTTTAATCAAAAGAAGCAACTCGTGGCTAAGCATTCCAGCAGAAATAGTTTTTTCTATTAGCTTCATGGTGCTACAAAGCAGAATAAAGCTGAAATAAATTGCAAATAATTTTGCCCCTTTGGTTTTCGGCCCTTTTGTTGCTGCTGTTTTTTGTGCCAAACTAATAAGGATAAGAAACAGAACAATGTGTAGTTTTTAGTTTTTTTACCAACCACCCAGCAATTTGGAACCAATAGGACTTCTGGTACAAACTGTATTATTGGATTTTTAATAATCTACTCATAGTCTACTGGAAGTAAATGCTGTTAAAGGACTCCAATAAATAATATCTATTAGATCAACAGCAGGTCAGAGGTCATGTCTTACATTTTGGAGTCAGAGATGACTGACTAGAACAGGGATCAAAACAAACAAAAAGTATTGTACTTCCA